CAGTAAACACAGAGTAAACAAAGTAAACACAGAGTAAACAGAGTAAACAAACAGTAAACACAGAGTAAACAGAAGTTTCAGGCTCTGCTCTAACAGGACCACAGCAGAGTAAACAAACAGTAAACACAGAGTAAAAAGAGTAAACAAACAGTAAACACAGGGTAAACAGAGTAAACAAGCAGTAAACACAGAGTACAAAGAGTAAACACAGAGTAAACAGAGTAAACAGAAGTTTCAGGCTCTGCTCTAACAGAAACATTTGGACAGAACCAGAGAAGACCAGGACCACAGGTCTTCTTGCTTCACCTTGGATGCTCCTCTTGAAGAAGGCCTTGCAGCCCTCACAGGACCACACCCCGTAGTGATAGCCTGAGGCGTAGTCGTGACACACGGCGCAGTAATGGAGGTCGGCCTTCCCTCCTGACGACACCACGGCCTCCTCGCTCTCCTGGGAGCTCCTCCTGGCACTCTTACTAACAGACAGGTTCCAGTCATGGTTCATGGTGCAGCAGAAACACATCTGATGTCTCCATCTTACCTGCTGCTCAGGACGCTGTCCCACGGACCCTGAACCGGCTGGTGGTGCTGCTGGCCTCGGGTCTGGGGGCAGTGCAGGGGTATGGACCCCCCCACGTGCCCGGGACCGGGCCAGAACAGAGAGGCGCTGAGCGACTGGCAGACGGCGGGCCGCTCGGACATGCTGGGACCAGCGTAGCTGAAGATGGTGGGGCTGTAGAAGGACAGGGCCGAGAAGTCGTGGCCCAGGTCCGTGTACGGCGCCGGGATGCAGATGGGCTGGCTGGTGTCCTGGGACAGACCCGGGGACGAGCTGAGGACCGGGGACAGGATGTGAGCGGCGACACGGCTGGAGTCCACCTCCTGGAGCTGCAGGAGCGGCTGGTGCTTCTCTGAGGAGGTGACGGCGGCCATCGCTGCGACTCTATCTCAATCAGCTGGACTTTATTACGTCATCAGTCAGGATGAGCAGAGGCTAAACTTTAGTGTTTGTTCTTTGGATCAAACGCTACAGTGTAGCTTACCATCATCAGTGTGTGAACGTGTGTGAATGGGTGAATGTCTGTTAGTGTGAAGAGCTTTGGGGTCCGGAGGGACTTGAAAAGCTCTCTATCAGTTCAGTACCGTTTATCATTTAGATGAGCATGTTGGCAGGTACTGGTTCTGGTTCTGAAAGATGTCAGTTTAAAGCAGGCGAACAGGACGACATGTTGGATCAGAGCCGTGACGATCAGCATCAAAGTGTTCCTCACAGGTTTCCACCTGAGGACAGAAAACAAACTCAAGTTGAGTAAAAATAATAGAATGAATTTATTTTCATTACAAGTGTGTAATATATATATA